TRYTKGMWAKWAAWKAWAKAAGTGTTTTATTGTCTCTTCCTATCCTACCATTTCTCTATCATTTTTTTAAATGCAATATTTTTTCAGGCACACACATCTCTCCATGAATGTTTGACTGTTTATGGAGTTAATGGAACAAAAATCTTGCCAGCCAATGAGACACTTGCATCTCACTGCCAAGATATTGACTACTGGCTCTCCAAGGTAAACTTAACAATGTTGAACATTTTAGCTGCTTTGTCTGCATTGTTTTCACCTTAGCCACTCATTAGTCATGCTGCAATAAAAAATRATAATTATTGTCCAATCATCATTGTTATTCATTTGTTATTCATTGTTTATTCATTATTGAAAGGCTCTTCATGTTGACAACAATACTTTTTCAATTGAATTGATATTTTAGACTGCCTCTGGTCCTGGTTTGACTTTCATCGCCTTCACAGAGGCTATTGTCAAAATGCCTGTATCCCAGCTGTGGGCTACATTGTTTTTCCTCATGTTGATGACCCTTGGTCTTGGTAGTATGTTTGGTACGCTGGAAGGTGTTATCACTCCAGTTTATGACTTGAAACTTGTCCCKTGGAGAAARGAGATTATCACAGGTAAGTGCAGAATAATGTGCAGAACAAATGTCTGTGTTGGATTTGAGAATAATGGATATTCAATGTTTATTGACAAGTTAGCATTGCATCATTGACTAGATTGAACTAGTCATACTCAGTGTTCATTATTATTTTGATTAAAAAYAAAATTCAAAACATATCTAATTGATGTTTTGTTTTTGTTGATAGCTATCATCTGTGCATTCTGCTATCTTATTGGGCTACTCTTTTGCCAACGATCGGGCCAATACTGGCTTCARATGTTTGATACTTTCTCTGGCACCATTCCTCTCCTTATCATTGGATTCTTTGAACTGGTTGGAGTGTCATGGATATATGGGCTAAAACGGTAAATATTATTGAAAAATTATTGCAAGCTCTTCTAGGAATATTCATTTATATACAAGTTGATACGTCCATTGTATTGTTTTTAATGTTTCTAATCCTTTTTTTCTTCAGGTTTGAAGATGATTTGGAGTATATGTTGAAGATGCGTCCCAGTCTTTACTTCCGAATCACCTGGAAGTATGTCTCTCCTGGCTTGGTTATTATCATCCTTGTAGCAAGTCTCATTAGCATGGGTCTGGATCCAATGAACTATGAAGGCTTTGACTACAATGAGGTACAGAATTGTTGATAGTGAAACTGCCTGTGAACACTTGGAGATCATTGATGTGTTTATTGTTCAGAAACTGATTTAATGAACAACACTCTTAATAGTCAAAACAAGATCAATTAATGAAAAGTCTATTGTAGAATCATGAACTCAAACTTTGAGCTTTTTTGTAGGCTTTGAGCTCTAAAAGATTTTCGAATTGAAGTCATGTGTTCATGCTTGTCTTAGTCATSCAGTGCACTATGATCTTTGCTGTTTATTCCAACATAATCTAACCTTGTTTTCTGTGATTTAGGGTCGATCAAAACCACTGGAGTTCCCTGGTTGGGCCTATGCCCTCATTGCTTTCCTCATTGGTTCGTCCTTCCTATTTATACCTGGCATACTTCTGCTCAGATACTTCAATATTGTACCATATCAACGAAAACAGTATGGTAAGGCAAGAGCAGGCGATGAAGTTACCCCTGCAGCAGTCACACCATCCATGTCGCAAATACCATTACCAGCATCTGAGATACCATTAGCAGGAAGGGTAGAAAATGGACAAGCATAACCATAATGTTTGTATTTGTTACATGCTGAACGTTTCTTTTGGGACTTACCTGATATTGCTTTAGCAAGAGAGTTTTTCACAGTACATTTCAATGCGCAACATGATCATTTTAAGTGCATTGCATGTTGTGAGAAATTATCTTGCAATGATAATTTAGGCAAGTTTTACAAGAAATGTTCAGCATGTAACTGTAAGGCTGTCTGCTTTTTGCCAGTTTTGATTGGACAACAGATTTGCCAGAGAGGGCTCAAAGTAAGTTCCACTCTATAACAGCAAGAAGCAGACAGCTGTAAACCATAAGTTGCCACTCAGCAATCAAGCGGTGAACTGCGTCAGGGGGTTTGTCAGCATAATTCTGTCCCACAGAAGTGCATGGGTTTTAAACCTCAAACTGTTGCGAGTCTCAGGGGCTTCAAGATTCATTCTGACCCACAGACAGTGTTTGGGTTTCCATTGGGCTGTTGTTTATAACCATGAATATAAAGTTAGAATCTTCACTAAGATGGTAGCTATTATAAAAGAGTGCTAGACTGAAGGAGCACTTGGAGGTTCAAATGAGAAGCAAGGGTGGCTAGTGGYATTAGAGCCATGGTGTAGTRCCAMTATCATTGATATCCAGTTCCCAAATGGGGACCATGTGTGGCTTTAGGCTTGTTGTCTAATCTCAATCTTGCTATGACTAATTGACTAATATTGATCTAAGCCGTGCTCATTGATGGGACACTATTGAGTAGTACTTGTTACGGTACTCTATATGTCCATAATAGTRTATTACTAGCCACTTAATGAAAGCACCCCCTTGACTTCATCAGATTGAGCTGAAGTCTTCATATTTCAGCAATATCCTTTACATAGCATAGTACGTTTCAGCAAGCCCATACCTATCCAATTCTCTCCATACTACCCCCCCTCCCCCCCCCCAATCCTGCTGAGTGGCTACTTATGGGGGAAGGGAGGGGAGGGATTGGGTTGAATAGAGGTCTTGATTGTAAATATATACTTAACTGGTTTAGCACTTGTTTTCTCTGAAAACACATTTTGTATGCCAGGTGTGAGATTTGACAACTATTTCCACAGTTCACACCTTCATCATATTGTGTTTTTAGACCCCTCTTTGGTGTTTCTCTGCATATTATATTATATTTTCTTTTTAACCTGGAGCTGTCTTCTAAATTTTCTTCTTGGTGGTGAAATTCTTGCTTTAAGCTGCAGGGCGGCGTAAAGCCATCTCAGAATTTGTACCTCATCACAGGGTACAAATCAAATCCAAAATAATTATAAAATATGTTTTTAATCTCCTTAAAAGAGTTTGTACAGAACAAGATAAATATTATATTGAACCCATGGGTGGGCTGACCGACTGCAGATATCTAGGGCCAGTTTTTCAAAGGGTAAAAATCAAAGAAAATCTTGGTAGTGGTTAACTTTTCCGTAACCCTTTGTACAATCTGAACCYGAGCCTGGAATATACAATTCATTTGGTATGTATAAAGAATCCAAAACTTGGCTTTGGGGAATGTTTGATCTATTTATTCATGCTTTTAAGTCTTGTTTTGGCGCTAAGTGAGATGTATATCGACACAAGGCTATTGATATTATTATTAATCATTAAGTTCTTATCTGCTGTCTTGGTATCAACTAAGGGTGKTTTTTTTTTGTAACAAAGTTTTGGTTTGATCAAAGAACAGGTTTTCTTGACCAAGCTCCTCTAAGTCATTTATTTTAAATTGCAACACGTCTTCTTGCAAGCTAATTATATTTTATAATCTGACAATAGTGCTACTGAATTTAGAGCGGATTTCGTATGGTTGTGCAAAAAATACTGTGCTGTCGCATTACAAAATCCGCTCAGTCAGACACTTGCCTTTAATTTTGCAGTCATCCAGGTCTTTTAGAATTCATATAGGCCTTTCATTGTTTGATTATYATGTTCGTGTATTTTGTGATCGTCTTTCATGATATAATAGGGTTTGTCGTTCTAGTAATTGTATATCCTGTGGACTTCAATCHTCATTTTTTTCCGCTTTAAAAAACTGGACGAAAAAATCATTCTATTTAATTTTACAGAAAATCACAGGAGTTTAACCCTTTCACCGCCATTGTCGACATTTGTCGACGTCGACGTATGCCTCTCTTTAAAAAAATATTATTCTATTAATTGCATAGCAAATGAACTAATTATGTTTTGGTTGGGTTGTCCGTGAAATTATACAGCTGCTAATTCATAAAGTAAGCACCATAGGGTTTCTTTGTGGTGAATGTGGTCCCTTAATTGAGGGCGAAATCTGGCTGCACGCTTTTCGACGTTAGACAAGAACACTAGAAAAAGGCTAAATATATTTTCAATTTTACTGCAAAAAATCCCTCAATCATGCCAAAATACAACATTTGAAAGAAAGTTCAGCCCTTCTACTTTGCATTGATGTGTCTTTTGTAACCAGTTTCATTGAACAAGCTGAGAAAGAGCTCTTTCTTTAGGGTTCATTCCATGAGACAAGTGTTTCCTTGAACTTCGCTTGCAAAGAATTCTGGGTAACGGTGAATTTTTTGGACAGAAAGTACCCCACACCTTCCATTTTAAAATTTTCTTTAAGTGTCGAGTCATTCGCTCCTACCAGGAAAATTTCAAGTAGATTCCTGTTTTTAGAAGCCAAAACATGCAAAAATATACACGGTAGGTTGCGAAGTCAAGCACAAAACAGCCAGGGAGACGACTTCACTTAAATGGCGCCATTTTACACAAATCAACGGTTGCTCGCCATTTTCTTCGTAAAATCGCTTCCCACTTCTKATTTCTTCCAGAAGATCGCTTCTGCCACAATAGTCAAGCTTTATGATGCAAGTCTAGGGGCTCTTGTGCGAGAACTTGACTTCAAAAACACCTAAAAACCGATTTTTCCTGTGTTTTGAACGAGCTGATTGCTAGTCGAAGCCACGAGCAAAAATCTTACAGGCATCCCTTGCAAAAGTAAGCCTTCAGTTATCACGAACAGCAGCTGTTTCCTTGACAACCTTAAGATTAGTCCCGAAATCATTTTTAAATCATTCTGCCTTAAAAACAGTCAAATTTAACCACAATTATTCGGCGGTAAAAGGGTTAAACAGTTTCACAAAACATTACTCATGTTTGACCATGTATTCATCTGTCGGAAACTTTCCATAGACTACAAAAACATTACAATCACATCGTGTTAAAAGGATTTAGTTGCAACAATTTGAAGTTCATTTTTAAACTTCATTGCAATTAGAATCCTTCATATTTTTAGAAAATCATATATTAAAAAAGACCGAAATATAAAACTGAATCGGYACTTATTCCAAGATTGAGGTAAATTATTAGACTATTTTAAAGGGATTTTGTGTCTTGGTGAAGAGTCTGAATTCATTCTTCAAAATAAACAAAAAAACAAAAATCAAGTCTCTTGCTAAAAATCTKTAAGTTGTTAATTTAAAAGTATGTAATTGCCTAGCGTATTGTCATCCCAAGTGTTCTGGGAAAAAAGATTCTTAATTTGCTAGGAGTTGCTTTAACAATTACAATTTTAGTCATAGCAACCACATGGACTAGACTTAGCAACTGTGTTATGTTGCCATGGRATTACCAAGTCACCATGGCAATCAGTTATCTGTAGCAGTCAAATTTTAGACGCTTTATTTCGTAACAATTTCGTTTTGAATCTGTTACATAAAGCATTGATGTTTTTATCATAATTCAAAAAATGGCAAAAATATCATTGGAAAATTCAACTATAGTTTTAGATAAAAAGTGTATTTTTAAGACGCAAGTGTTGATCTAATATATCGTATACTTAATATAAATATTTGTATATTGTGTGCTAATACCTGACTTATTATTAAGGGGGACACAAGATTGTTGTGATTGTCAATTTGTAGAGATGACAAGTAGTCATTCACAGTTTATGAAACAAGTTGTGGAAGTTTAGTTAGCGCTCTCTAGAAGTAGCTTCTGAATCGAAGCATCTGCTGGAGGTGAACCTTAAGCAAAATGAAAAAGGAACCATGAGCAGTTGTTTCTGTGAAGACYATTTGTGGTGTCTGCATAAGCTCAATACATTTTGCAGTTCCTCGAAATTTCCYCAATTRTAGATCATAATTTTCGTTTTTTGGTTCTTGAAGTGTATGTGTGTGCCAAGTAAACTAGCTTAATATATAAATGATTAGTATATGAATTGATATCATAGCCAAAGCGCCATTACTATCTTTATTCAGAAATAGGGTTCTTTCCAGAAATGCACAAGTGGATTGAACTACTTGGGGTGTAAATAATATCAATCTTTCGATAAAAGTGGACACTGCAACATCATTGTTTTCTGTCAGTTACTTTTTCAATCCCTTGTGAGTTTCTGGTTATAAGATTGATCTGTATCATTAAGCTCACTTGTTATTGACAGCTGTCATTCAAGTGATTGACAACTATATTTTATGCAAATCTCATTTATTCATCAAGGCCAAGCCATGGCTACAAGAATTGTTTCAATTGGTGGGAAATTTGTTTGTAGAATTCTTGGTAGCAGTGGCTTGAGCAGATTTTTTTGTGGTGTCAAAGTGCAAGCACTAAACCGGTAAAAGTAGCAAATTTAACTTAGAATTAAATTATTGACACAACTATTTTTATTAATATTTATAATCGAGAGGTTTTAGTGCCTGCATACTTAACAATTGATACACAAGTGTTCTTATACGCACAAACTGGTTTATTTTTTTTGAAGCTTGATTCTTTAGCAGTCACGTGATAAGTCACATGACTTATCTATGACGTCATCGTGCTGAGAGTAGAAACGTTTGGCGAATTTGTTTTAATGTGGTGTTATAAGAACTACTTTGTGTGACCATGTCGAAATCATTACAGTAGCCACAATATTTATAGCTTGACATTTTAACGTGATTTAACGTTTTCAAATTGTTGTAAAAAGGACTAAAATTTCATAGTGTCTTWCCATTAGAATGGAATTTGTCCATTTTAAGACCCAGAGGRCTGTGTGTGACTAACTTTTCAAGACTGAAACAGACCTGTTTTAAACCGATATGAGATATAGTGCATCTTGAAGCACAAAATTGGACATGGGTTAGCTACGCACAGTCCCACTAGTAAGAATTAAGCRTGCTATATTTGTACATAGGCCAAGGTTAATAAAAATGTAATGTAGAAATGTCGGTATTGTCGTTTTAAACAGTGTTTGATTTGTATGGTTAAGAGTTGGAGTTCACTTTATTGGTGGCCAATGTCTTAATGTAAAGCACAGTTATTCATTTAATAGCAATAAAAGAATTGAACATTGGTTTGTGGTTTTATATATATGGGGATAATTACAGCGTTTTGTCTAAAATTATGTAAAAGTCAACAATGGCTATATATACATATATCGGTTGCATTGTGGGTATTTTTTGCACTAAAAAATTGGCTAAAAACCCTTTGAATTAAGTAAGGACCGTAATATTTTTGCTGGGACGTTATTCAGATCTGAATTAGATTTAATGTTAACAAAATGTTTTCAGTTACTTGCAAAACATTTTAACCTCTAACATGATCTGGTGCGTTATGGGTGATGTCATGTGATTTTCGCTCTTTTCTCGCTAAAACAGATCGCAAATCATTCAAATACTTTGAAATTATGTTTATTAAAGGTTATTCATGTCAATTTACAGTTTTTTGACAAACGTTTATTTTAGAAACTGAAAAGCTACCCTATATATTGATATTTATATTAAGTTAGCGGCCAGAATAGTCTCCTCGCAGTCGTTCTTATTGGCGGGCTCCCTTAAGTAGAACGTCTGCGAGGAGACTACGGCCAGAATTGACTTTATACAAAAAACATTGATATTCCAACGTTGAGATAGTGGTCTTTATAACACGTCAAATGCACCTAGACACACTCAATCCGTGAAACGTACTTACTACCTTACTCCTATCTTCCATCTTTTTTTTCTTTGTTTTCTTCTATTCTTCTGTTACTGAACTTCTCCTACCTCAAGAGTCGAAAACTTCTTGTAATCAATCGTGATGTCACAGGTTATTTTCGTATTGAATTTCGCGCGTTTTTGCCAAATAATTGCTTTAAATACATATTGAGTTGCGTAAACCCTTTTATACGGGTCTTAAATTTCGTGAGCTTTTATAAATCGCAAAAATTAGTACGAAAAATGTACATTTGAGAGACGCATTTTATATCCTTCAACTCTTTACCTTTTCTGAAGATACTATTTGAATGAATACAATGTTTATCTATTTATTCTTCAAAACAAAATCACGTAAATGATTAATTCATAAAACTAATATGATTCAGTATCCATGGTTTCCATGGACAGTTACAGTAAAAACTGTGTTTGAGTGTTTACCTGATCGACGTRCCACTTGCTGCTTTCACACAAATAGTGACCGACGAGCTTTGTGAGCTGCGGCCGGTACCAGCGTCAAGGTCTTGTAGCAGCCAATCACCCATGAACGACCTAAGTAGTCCCTCTTCTGGTTTTCTCTTCCCGAGACCACGTGTCCTTTGACAATTTACAACTCAGAAAACAGTGAAAGGGGCAATGATTATTTTAAAATGTTACTGTAAAAATGTTCTTGGTACTAAATGGAAATAGCACTCTTTCAAAATGGCCTTCGTTTCTCTTCGTGTCCAGAGAATCACCGCATATTTATTGGTCATTGTYTGYGTGGTCTTGGTTTATCAATTTTATAATCATGGACAGCTAGTGCGAGGAAAGCGACTGCGCAGAATTAAATCTGTGGAGAGAGACAAAAGAGCAACGGCTAAATGGGATTTGAAAGAAGAATTGCGGATAAGCAAAGAGAATGCGTCAAAGATCCATGAACAGAAAAGTTTACTTCTACAAGAGATTAGTTCATTAAAAGTCAAATTAACGAATTACTTGGCGGTGAACCGTAGGTTAAGATACAATATCCAAAGCTTGAGAAAGAAAGCGGAAAATGCCAAAACCGAGATCGCCAAGTTGACGTCACAGAAAGTYGATTTGATGGAAGTTATAGAAACCATCAACAAGAGTAAACTACGTCACGAAAGCGAYCAACCATCTCCCACAGATGACGGAAGTAATGTTTTGCACAAACCGTCTATAGCAGAAAACCTTCCCTTTAAYAGCTTTGCAAAGACTCATATTTATGAACCCGACAGCCAACCTAGACCGAAAGAATACATGTTCAGAGGGCAGAATGTGAAAACTAGAACAATCAGGTCTCCAAGAAGACACATTTTTCAAATAGAAGACAAAATCATTGACATGATTAACTCTAACCAGTCATTAGCYTTGACCAGGGAGGATTTCTTGGATGGTGTCTACCGTTATGATATCAACGGAGGAGCCGATTACGAGTTTTACTTCCGATCTCCACGTAAAACCAACACTGTTATACCAGTRAGGGTCTGGCGAGAACTTTCAAAGCCTARTGTACAAATTCTCAACAGTAATAAAAAAAAGCTAGATGAAACAATCAATCTTGTTCTACCCCTTTCTGGGCGTCTGGAGAGATTTCAAAACTTCATCGAACTATTTGTTGATGTTTGCATCAAAAAAGACAAAAATGTTTATTTAACTGTTGTTCTCTATGGGGAAAAAGACTTCAAGACGGTGAAAACGATCCTCCAAGGACTAGAAAAGGACTATGGGTTCCGTAAATATGAACTGGTCATGCGAGACAAGGAGTTCTCACGGGGTCGYGCGCTTCACGATGGAGTGATCTACTGGAAGGGACAAGATCCTAATGTTCTTATGTTTTTCTGTGATGTAGACATAACGTTCAGTGCGGAGTTTCTACGTCGTTGTAGAACGTATAGTGAACCGGGTAAACAGGTTTACTATCCGATAGTTTTTAGTCTTTATAATCCAAAGAATGTCTATGCGGATGGTAGTATACCGGAACAGGAAGCACAACTGAAGATAGGTGAGTATCTTAAAGGGAGGGGAGGGTAAAGTCATAAAAGATGTTTTTCGCCGATAAGGATATAACAGCAAAACAAAATATAGATCCTTTGCAGATATTAATTTTGATTCGCTGGGGTTCTGAATACATCAAAAACGCTCAGCTTTGGAATATGGACGCAAAAGCAAGGCAAAATTTTATACTGAGCTTAATTGTAATAGCGTAAAGCTATTTTCAAAGCCTAAAAATGATATGATTTTACTAATAGATCGTATTTCATAGCCTTAATGATATGTTTTCACTAATAGATCGTAGCAACGGTTTCTGGCGAACCTATGGTTTTGGAATGACATGTCAATATCGGTCCGATTATCTTAAAGTCGGAGGATTTGATTTGAGTATTGAAGGTTGGGGATCAGAAGATCAGCAACTATACGCTAGATATCTTGAAAAACCCGGATATAGGTAAGAAATGTGTGGTCCATGTGGGATCCAAATACAATATCTGTAGGCGCGATAGTGTATTAGTGGCAAAATCACTGACAATAAAAAAGGGTTCCTTCATAACTTTTTTTTCCCTTTTCTCTTTCTCCATTCCCTAAAAGACTGAGATTCCTGTTATGCGAGAGTTTCTTCCCTCACCTTTTTTTGCATTACGAGGAGCTCTAAAACGTCCATCTTTATAACGTAAATCCATACAACGATCTAGAGCTCCGGAGTCTTTTGGTCACGCTAAGACTTTCACTAAGTCCTTTTTAGCCACTTGCGATTTTTTGCTCGATTCTCGAAATTTCCTTTATTTTTTGTAAATCAAGAAGGTAAGATTTTGACCTTTTCTAACGTTTTCGAACTATATGTTCATCTTTAGGACTTATATTTTAGGTAACACAACCTTTATTTCACTTTATCTATCATTGAGAGTAAAACTACATCTAAAGATTTTTTATTCTCGTTAACAGGATCATTCGAGCCCCTGACCGAGATCTTTTCCACTTCTACCACGAGAAGTACTGTGATCCAAACCTGAAATGGGACCAGTACAGGTCTTGCTTGGGATCCAAAGCCAAGACAGAAGGAACCCCAGCTCAGATTGCCATCCAGCTGACCAGACTTCGAGAAAAATACGAAGGATTCGAAAGGAATGATTGATTACTTTTTTTGCAGGGATGGGGGGTAAACTGGCTTTTCTTTAAGTGTAGAAATATATATTGGGATAATTATTGATGTATTTTGAATATTTTGCCAAGTTAAATAAATTACATAAATTTGAATTATAAGAAATATATTCCTTGTACCGTTCAAGATGAGCGCGAGTACACACTCTTAGAGCGTCTACGGTTAGTTTTGATTTTCGCAAATAATTTGAGGTGCAGGAGCCAATCAAAATCCAGGATTTGTGATAGTCTGCAGATTGTGGTGAAATACTGATATGTTGATGCTAAAGTGCGCTACTCCAGACTAGTCCCTAATCCCTTACAGACAACGTGACTTGTAGTCTCCTCGCAGCCATATTCTTAGTGGCGGTCTCTGGGCTCCCTGTCCCCTGCCCCACAGACAGACAGAAGACAGGGAGCCCACCACTAAAAACGCCTGCGACGAGACTACAATAGGTGACTTGTACCACCAAAAAGAAAACAAAGACAAAAGCAATCATTCATTTAGTTTTATTTTTAATTTTAAAACTCTAAATACAATGTTAGAGACATTTTAATTGGAATCAGGTCATATAAGATCACTAGAGAAAATAGATAAATACAGAGGCCAAGATTGTGACAAAATAAAGACAACACAATTAAGGAATAAAGGTTAAATAGGTTTAAAACAAGATAAAATCCAATCAATAGATTGCTAAATGACAGAAGGAATGACAGCAACAGTCCAAGAAAGTTTAACACTACTTTCTACAAAAGTGTTTATATTAAATTAAGATGGCTCGAAAGCAAAATAGGAAGACACCTAACTTGTGTCTCATTAGTTATTTTGGTTTTCTAGAATGACTAGAATACATGATTATTATGAATACTACATGTATTACACTGTAGCAAATCATTTAGATATTTCCCTCTTGAGTCAAACAATTACTGGAAATATTAGTAAAGTATAGCATACTTTGCAGACCACTCAAATGGAAGCAAGAATTTGGGAAACAGATATTTTGATCGTCTTGGTCTACCTGTGTATAATCTTGATTGAGAAGACCTGGTGTCATGAGATTAGAAACAAAGACTTCTTCCTTTCTTCTGCCTTTATTTGTCAAAGTTTTCCACAGGAATCCTGATCAGTAGAGTTTTATGCAAAGTAGGTTATATGTAGGTGAATCAATGCTTTCTGTCTAACTCAACTTCAACATGAATGATCTCAACATTTTCTACTAGTTTTAAGTAGTATGTAAAAATGTGTTTGTTCACTTGATGGACTTGGAGTACAATAAACAGTTCAAAGTGATGAATTGTTGATGCCAATTCAACTTACTTTTTAACTACATGGTGTACAATATTATATCAATGGGAATCAATAGTCCTTCCTGCTACTTTACTTCCTGTCTGAATACACTTCACTTCCTGTTTGAGTACACTTTTACTTCCTTTTTTGATGTAGTTTTATTTCCTGTCAATGTTTGTAAATGGACAAGCGTATTTGGCAAAGAAATGTACATTATTTGACCTAAGATAATAGAATAGATTACTAGATTTGCACTCTACTTTTCTCCCTCCTCCTCCTCGTCTTCTTCCTCCTCCTCGTCATCCTCTTCTTCCTCGTCCTCCTCTTCTTCCTCCTCATCTTCTTCCTCCTGCTCCTCCTCTTCTTCTTCTTCTGATTCCTTTTCATCATTTCTTGCTAGTCGAGCTAATGAAATATAATTACATGTTAACATCATGCTATAGAAAAGAGAACCGAACTGTCTTCTGTTTAGAGCAGAAAAAAAGGYAAAGACRTTRTGACCAGATAGAGTGCATTTATCGTACGTCTCTCTCCACTTCATAATAAATAACACAAAACTACTCTCCTCAAACAATTGAAGACAAAGAATTTTGTACAATTTTGTTAATAATCTATAAGGGATATTATTAATTTACACTCTCAGAAATCTACTTTACGAATTAACAGTATCAGGAACCACTTAACTAAAATATCTGCCAGAAAAAGCTCAATACTTGCCTGCRTCATTGTTCCTGACCATCAATTCTGCAGCACGTATTCTTGGATACTGTGTATCAAAGCTCAGGCTAAACTTCAGCAAAGTGTGATTTTCTTCTAATGCTGCTACAATTTTCTGTTCGAATTTGGCTCCAACAATACCACTCTGTAAACAAACATAAAAAAGTGTTGGTGAAAATGCTGTTTTTACGGACTTCAATGACACACATTGAAAATCTGTACCTGATTATCAAGTCGGAGTTCTCTGAGGGTAGTATTATCTTTGATAGCTTTCACAAATTTCTTAAAACAGACAAGGAATAGATTAATTGTTGAATTAGTTTTAAAAGGATGAATAGTTTAATGAAAAAAAGCTTTATAATTTAAGAAATAATGCTGTTAGAATGGAATTCAGAGCAAAGAGGGGAGAAAACCATATAATTCAATACAATATCATGCTATCTTACCAAGAGCATTTCGCTAGACAAGAAATTAGATTCTAAGTTGAGGATTCTGAGTGTCTTGTTTACTTTCAGACAGTCCAAGAATTTCTGAAATGAACAGATATACTTTGATCAATTGATGCACAATGTCAGGGATGCTTCCAAAAATACTATAGGTGCTCATGATGCTGAGGTATTTTCAGGAAAAAAATATAAAGAGATGTTCAGWACACTACKCATGSTTTTGARAGTGGATGGTGCTCATCCCAGAAAATGAGTATCTAAGAATTGGACTTAAAACATACCTCAGCTACTAGACAAGTCATTTGGGTGTTTGCAAGTTCAAGATATTTTAAGTGTGTATTTGTCTTTAACAATTCAGCAATCTCTTCCAGTATTTTGGGGGTTACATCATTGTGGTTATTTAGGTTCAGTTTTGTCAGTCCGCCATCATTTCGACGTAGTTTCTTCATTGCTTTGTCCAAGTCTAGTTCATTTATTGCTGTGAGATCTGTCTTTTTAACTTTYGCTCCCATTACAATTCCTTSAAGGAAAAAAACAGTAATGTAAAACACAAGACACAAATGAAGAAGGTGTATACAACAGTAAAAATGACTGTACCTGGTGTGTACTTCTTTAGACCACTGCCTTTCAATACTCTACCAGACGCTTCTTTCTCAGCTTGGTGACTTTGAGATTGTGTCAACATTTGGTGAATACCAAGGACACCTGTAACAAGACAGTTAAAATAATTATTCTGATGATTAGTTGCCAGAGTTATAATAAATAATGACCCCATGGTGCTAACAAGAAAGTTCTCCAATGCAGCTTCAGATAGTTCTRCRACTGACCTACACTATTTGCAGTCTGAGCAGCTYAGAGAAGACAAASRTATACCACAGTAAATTCCACAGACTTACCAGCTAACTCCAGAAGTTCTTCTTCCGTAGCATTTTCCAAGATGTCTGCAAATTCCTCTGGAACCTCAGCAATTTCTTCTTCTTGTTTAGGAACATCTTTTGGGATGTAAACCTTGCCACGAGTTTCTTTCTTGTAGGGAACAGCATCTTCTCTTTCTTCTTCATTCTTAGCTTGTTCCTCTAGATGAGCTAACAGCTTTTTTCTGTCAAATGGTCCTGATGGTGTTTTGTCTGTTGAGTACGCATTACGCATGTGGGAAGGTAGMAGAGCATTCTGCAGGAGAAATACAAATTTTCAAATACAAATTTCTATACTATATGAAAATATTTACAGTGTATTCATGAAACACATGCAGTTTCCAATCATCATTATGCTAAACATACACTGAAAAATGAAGAGACAAAAGCATTTTATGTGGTTTCACAGTAGAGGGATAAACAGAAAACAAAAAACTGAAGATGGCCTCAACATCTCTATCACCTGACGGTACATATTGATAGTAAGCTAATTAGCTTGTGCTCCTTTGCACTCACATATTCAAACTAATAAACTACAGTACAAGTCAATGCTAATGAGGCCCCAAAAAGGTTCTGGGTACAAGCCACATCACTCGAAATTCATCAAAGACATAATAGGCAACAAGTGTGTATAGAATATGCAACAACGGGTGCAGCTATCTACAGCATCACAGCCCCATTGCACATCATCAGTGAAGAATATTTCATATCCTGAAACAGGGACACAGGGAGGTATATAACAGGCTACCATTGTATTTTGTTGTTGACAAATTGCAGTCCAAATACATGATTGTACAGCTCATCTGTCAACTACAGCATTTCTGCAATTTCTAACATTTTTTATTGCAAAGAAMGGGTGAGCAGTATTTTAAAATGGCCTATTTAAACTTGCATATTGCATTTTTGCATGAGCAGCATTGTTGTTTAATTATTGTTTTAAGATAGCTGATCACACACTAGAAAGTAAAGAATGGAATGAGCAATGCCCTTAATTTTCGCCAGAAAAGGCTGTATACTCTTTCCAAGGAGAAATCAAACATTGAGCTAAAATCAAAATTTGCAGCTTTATTGTTTCAAGCTTAGTTCATAAGTAGGTCTGGACATTTCTCTCTGGCAAAGCTCCAGCTCTATATACGTCAAATACCCCAGGGACTCAACAAAACAATTACGTACATATAAACATACTTTTGGAAATGACCATTCTTCATTACAGTCCTATTCTAGAATGTGTACGACTTAATATCATAATCTCACGAAAAAGATTGCTGTTGATAAGCTCGAACGAATTCTGTTTTAGCCAAAGGAAATACACAAACTAAAGTATATAATACAAATGCCAGAAAGACGCGACGGCATTCCGATCGAGAGCTTACGAGTTGGCGAATAAAATAAGATTGATATTAAGAAAGAGGTTTGCTATAAGAATCATTCAGATCGTGCTGTGCTCTTTATTTAGATTCACTTCGTGTTTCCAGTCAAACGCATGATCGACATACTGGCATGCCATCATAATAAAGATAGTCTTAAAATATACATCCCTGTATTGTGATAAACTAGCATACCTCTGGGTCAATCGCTGCATTTAGCTCTCTTATTTCATCTTCAGTAAGTCCTTCAACTATCAGGTCTTCATCGATGTCATCGTACTTTGATAGATCGACGGGCTTTTTCTTCTCTTTCACCCAAGACATAGTGAAGCGTCTATCAAATATCTCAAGTCTGTGGCGTCCAACTGAACTAAAGTACCTTCTAAGCCTCAAATAGGCAAGTAGAATTACTGGTGAGGCTTTCAGAAGTAATTCAGAGAGTTCTGGTTGCAATTACAGCGAGAAATTGAGGCCAAAAGTGGTCGAATGTTCCAGACAATCTTTCCCCCAAGCAAAGATCCACGAAGCTTGAATGACCCGGCCCAGGCTCAACGCCCTACACATAATTATCAAATTGAACATGGGAGAGGGGAGGGTAAGGTTTTGCCTTCTAGGAACTCCAAAAGACATAATAAAAAAAGAACAAAAACAAAAATARAAACAAAACTGTTGCAAACTTAGAATCGACCAGGAAGTTCCATATGAGGATTCCCCTTTTCCCATTTTAGGATTCAAAAATATGGAAATATAATAGAAATTATAATGTGTATGGAAAAATCGCGAAAAATCGTTTGCAGCGTCAATTCATATTACTATTTGACTCTAAACAAAATTATAGTATTTTAAAATGGATATCTTATATAATTACTTTAAAATTTCAGAATATATACAATGTACGAATATAAAACATAACTCGGCGTACGGTTGCCGTATGAATAGCCACTGTGAAAAACATTAACAAAATCACAAGAGAATGTAAATCTAGTCTAATCAAAAATATTTTACTGTATATAGGTTCAGGTAGCCTTCCTTTTGACTAAATTTCGTTGACATTTCGAAGCTTCTTCGCCGCTCTAGATCGTATACTGTCGACTCCCGGACGGAAACTGTCCGGGAGTCAAAAAAAATGAAATTAAAAAGATAATTATGAAAGCAAAAAAAAAAAATAAATAAATAAATAAAATAATAATAATAATAAWGTTTGCTAAAAAGTTAAACTTTATGAACTGGTGCCTCATTGGATTCGAACCTGGTCGATCGCGCGTCCTTAAGATTGAAGACGGCGCCTTAACGCGCTGCACCATTGGACCACACTCATTTACATAATAATAGACCACTTGGCACTTTCGCCGAATAGACTACCCCAATTTGACATTATACTTTCGATAGTTGCCWAGTTAGTGCAAGGGGTTATCCATCAGTGTCTAGGGGCCGGATAACTTCTCCCTCACTGGCTTTTTAGTTAGCGCGAAGTTAGGACCAATTATCGGGATAGCATGGAAGAGCCGAAATCTCTAACCGGAATGTAAAATCGATTCGCCGCCTCAGCTTCACAGAATGTCTCGGGGGAATCGTCCCAACCTTTTTCAATTTTGTTGTCATGGGTTCGAGTCCCAGAACGGTCTTGTTCATCTTTTTCTCTTTTCTTTTCGCTGATAAAATAAGTTAAAGACATCAAAATATCCTTTTAGCTCTTTTTATAAGAATATCTAGATTTTTTTTCAGTTAATCTGATATTTTTTAAAGGATTAACATCACCGTCATCATAACAACTACAACAAGTAAAGCAACAAATAAAAAAGTTTATTATCTCCATTTCAAAGTACAAAATGACAGTGGTTTCCGATTATCGTCTCTTCTTTTTACTGTATGTCTAGTCTTAATGCTGTTCTCTTTGACAACAGTCAGGAAGTGTGTTATCACCAATCTAGCAATCTTTAGGCCAGCGATGGATGATTCAAGTGTCTGAAATAAAAAGATATTAACATGACGATTGACAATTTGACCCCTAAACAATCAACCTCAGAGCAAATGCAGGAAAACCATCAATAAGCTTCTCCGGAGCTCACCATTATCATATACATATTTCTGTTCTAGTATCTAAACTCACCTTTATGTCCCAAATGACAAGGCGACCATCAAATCCAGAGCTTTTGTTCCCAGTATGGATTTCCACTTTGCTAAAAAAAGAGCCAAATATATATGAATCACTGGGTTCTTTATTTTGAGCGGGAGCCGTTCGTCACGCTAAAAGTGTGACATGAGAAACCAAAGTTCCCCGAAAAAAAATAAACGTTATAATATGAATCGACATCTTTTTTTAGATTGTGAATAAAGTTATAAAAGATTTTTCTTACTCAGATAGCACTTTGGGATTTGTTTTGTACATTTTAAAACTCCCGCTCATTTAGTGTCGAATTTAGTGCATCAAAGACCGAGCCGTAAGTCACGCTAGGTGTGACGAGAAACCAAATCAGTGCTCGAAATAGAACGTTATAATATCTTTTTTAGATTGCTAATAAAGTTATAAAATATTTTTTATTACTTAGATACTATTTTGGGGATCTTTCTTGTACGTCCGAAAACTCCCGCTCATTTAGTGCATCGAAGTCGAGCGTCACGCTAACATGATATACGAATAAAAGAAAAAATCAAATCTAAATGAAACTCATTCTGAAAAACAAGCAGCCGATCTCAAATAAACATTTATTTACGTCACCACAGATTTATTTATTTTTAAGATATTAAAATATCTTTTTTGGAACGACTATAGAAAAAACTCAAATGAAGCTCTTTCCTTTCAACTTCTCAGCAGGGGGTCGCACTCATACACTTGCCTATATGCTACAGTATAAATAGATGAGAATTTTAATCAAAAAATTAATTTAAAAATTAGTAAAATCAGTGTTATATAAAATAAATAAAGATATGGAAACGAACAAAGTGATAAGCATTATTGCATTAAATCTAGAACTGCTAGAACTAATACTCGACGCACTGATCAGTGTAACTACTACTACTACTACTACTACTACTACTACTACTACTACTACTACTACTACTACTACTACTTTATTAAATTTTTTACAGTTATTATTGAGCACTATTCAGTTCAGTGTACCTTGCTATTGTCCTCCGAGCTCACTATCTCTACGGGTTTGTAAATAATTTAAGTTTATTTTTGAAAAAAGCACTCCTAATGCAAGATTAATAAGATGGTAGTGTTTATACGCGGTTGACTAGAATTGTTACCAGGGAAAAAGGAGMAAGTTTTGGGCGTTACTGTCAACAAWACTGAGCCACTTCGACAGCCGGTGAATTTCATCAAAAACTCCACTGTAYCATTTTGGAACTATRCTATCCAAATTAAAAATGTTTAAGTCGAAAAAGTATACCAAAGTTCATTTTACAATTTTGATTTTTGCAGTTTCTTTTGGTAAGTCGCAATTAATCGCATCACATTTTCGCCATATGGCCGCTCATTACTTTTTTTTTCTCAGGCTTGACAAGGGGATCATTTTCACCAGTTAAGACATGTTATGATTGTCCAAGGCATACGACGGCTGAACAATGCTATAAAATAAGGGAGAAAACTAAACCTTGTCCGAGCMRTACGGACGCTTGTTTCGTTCAAGCCTTGGACTTGGTCAACAAAACTACAGGCAAGGTACGGTACAGATTAAAAAATAAATGAATTTTTACAATTCAATGTTGATCGCAAAGGGAGAAATAACGTAATGTGCACTTGAAAATAATGAAGTTTATTAGATTTATAACAAGTATATAAAGATGCAAAAAACTACGTATACAAACGAACTCTAGCCATCAACTGAGAACAAACAAAACAAAAAAAAAAACAAACACAAAACACAAAACTAACATACACTCAGGTGAACATCTGCACTTTGAAAAAGTCCCTCCCCTACTATAACCATAGGTGTGCCCATAATTTTGTATGACAAAGTCATTATATCTCGACAGCCAATCCGGGAATTGTACAAAGACTGTGTGGTATCAAATATCTATTGCTCCAAAACGAAAGAAGAGCTATGCAAAGAATGGAACGACACCAGTTTTATACCAGCCAATTCAAGCAAAACACTTGTGGGATGCAGCAACTATACATGCTGCAAGAAGGAAAAATGCAACACTTACTTGGAAAAACCGCCTCCTATAAGTATGCAAAAAACACCCACACATTTCTAAAAATAGTCKGATAATCATTAACAYTGTCCAATCCAATTACTCCCGTTCTTTATTCTTTTCTCCCAGTTCCACTTCCCATTTTTCATTTCTCTGCACAAGTGTTCTATGTTCCTTTTCTCAGTTTCTTTCTTTGTTCAATTGCCCATCTTCACAATCATTTATTTTTCATTTCAGCAACTCAATGGACAACAGACATGAGCCTATGCTCATCTAAGTGCTGCGGTAATGGCGAAGCCCTGACCTGGCAAAACCGCTCATGCTCGGGAGAGTGTGAAGGAGTGGTGCTTGCAAMGCAAGTCAAGTGCAAGGACACTTCATGCAMGAGSCAACATTGTGGCTGTGAGAATTAKGAAATTTCTTTGGGATGAACGCTGTTGTAGTCGTTGCTGTTTTTCAGAATAAGTCAAATTCATACTTTTATTGTCGTTTTCATATTACATCATATTGATAACAGCTTCCAAATAGAGCCAATTCTATGCGCGATACCCGGTTTGGGGCTTTGATAATAGCAACTATTTCTTATACCATACAGCTCCTTACTCTGTTTCTCCGTGGGTGACAGACATGAACTTTTGCGCGTCAAAGTGCTGTGGCGGTACACCTTCCCAGATCTGGCAAAATCGGTCTTGTTTTGGTGCCTGTAATGGAATTCAAATTGCAAAGGAAATCCAGTGTGAAAACACACATTGTAACGAAAAGCATTGCGGTGAGTAAAGTATAACGAATTTGAAAAAAATTTAGGGACTGTGAAAGGCGTGTCCGACCCGGCTTTCAGATAAATTTTATACTTGCGTCAGAGAACAGAATCTTGAAATGTGAGGACAGACTTCTGAAATTGCGAAAACGTTCTTTTCTTTATTCATTCCCACGCTTTTCTTTTTTAGGAGTATCTGGAATGATCATGAATCCGAAGATCATTTTGTCTGTAGTCCTTCTGGCACATACTTGGTAAGTGAAATTGTCCATACACAATTCACTTTAATCTTCATACATGCTACAATCTCAAAAGGTTTCAATAATGCGTCTTGTTTGTTTTAGGTATTACTGAAAACACGGCTTCAACTTTCAATGCCATAAGAATAGATTTGCAAGAACATCGCAAGTAGAATCATCAAGCTTTATTACACTGAAATACTTTGTCAAATTTAATTCACAATTTAGTTAAACTGGGGTATATTCATTGCTTTTATTTTGGAAACAAATGTACAGTATAGTAGTTTACGATAATATAATAATCACCAGCGGTTTCTTTGAAATGTTTATGTGGCAGAGAAAAGTTAAAATTTGACTTGATTCATTTTTAGTGACTTTCGCCTTTCTTTCCTGAAATCTAAAATGAAAGAGGTGTTAAAACAATGCTTAAAACGTATTAATTAAACATGTCATCTCGAACAAATTGGGCCAATGCATCTTACTCTTTTGAAATCTTGCATATTTGTTGCTTCAAGCGTACTTCCAATAATGCAAAGATAGTTGATCACTGTAAGTTCCTCATCACCTTGATTGTCTTTTACAAAGAACTGAAATAACAACAACCCTGTTACATGTAATAGATACTGCAACATTTTCAAGACCTTTTAAGAGTTTGAGAAAAAGATAACTTAGTAAATATGTAATACATAAGCTAGATATAAAGGTGTACATGTCAATGTTAGAAAAATCTGTACTTACTGTAATATTTTGGACGTTTTGAAATTTGACATATTTTAGAGGAATTATAGTTTCTCCGCTGACATCGTCTGCTGTGAGTCTAATACCAAATAAAAGTGATTTTTAGAATTACAGCAGAAACCGTTGCATCGCGACTTCAATGTCCAAAGGAAATAGTTGGGATTTAGGTTTTTCTGCGACTTGGGGGCGGAGCTTGATACTAATCAG